GGGGGGTAGTTTTTCATATTCATGCTCTGTTGGGAGTGCGCACCAAAAGAGACAGCAAAACCACGGCTGCTGGAGCGAGGCCGAGCCGACATGAGAGGGGAGGATGACGGAGCAGAAACAGGGAGCTTGTCAAAAGCGGGGCAGCAGGAATAGACGAGGGCAACGAGAAGGAACACAAGGAGAGGAGAGGAGAGGAGGAGGGGCAGTGCGAGTGAGAATGATGAGGCACTTTGGGAAGAAGAGGTAGGAGGGGGGAGTCTGAAGGTGATGGTATTTAACCTTAGCCGGGTTCAGGAGGTTTTTAAAACCCACAGCTATGAACACAGAAACAACACAAACAAACGCTGTCCGCTGGGAAAGAAAACCAGTCTGCTGCTCTAAAAAGTTTCTACAACGTCTCCAGAGCTGGTGAGGTGAGGCATGAACAAAGAAATCGACCAAAAATAGGACGGAAGAAACACACATAGGTCTAAACCTGACGGGAACACTTAAGCACGAAAACGCACATACATGCGCGCGCACCATGGACAGCGCATGTGTATCACAGGATGGCATGGCTGTGGGGCGACATGGTGAGGGAGGTGAGGCAGGCAGGCAGCGGGTGAGTAACACAGCATGGTGTCTGTCTTGATATGAAGGTGGACACACACACATACACACACCATGGGAATGTGCCAGAAAGAAGGTCAACAACACTGACGGGGATCCAAACAATGAGGATGTTTCGGCAGTAATGGTGTCGGTGATGATGCGGCGGGGATCGTGGGACGACAACAGTGGCAATGGTAACGATGGAGAGCGAAGGACGCAGGCAGGCGTCGGGCCCTCCACCCTCCCCCGGCGCTGGACCCCCCAACCTGAGTGGCTGTGGCGTTACCTGGGCTGGCCAACGCTCCCAGGGAGGCGGCGTTGGAGGACAGGGGGTTTGCGGTGGAGGGGCTGGCTGAGTTTTGGGCCGCCGCCGCTGCCGCCGCTAAAGTGGCCAGGTTCTGCAACTGCAGAGCACTCATACCTGGAGAGAGGAGCCAGAGAGGGTGGTGTCAAACCTGGGGCTGAGGCGTGGCTGGGTCGCCTGGCTGGACCGGGACAGCGTACCAGAGGACAGCACTGAACACACGTTAGCTGCTGGGCGTCCGGAGGTGTACAGCAGTGGAGTGTGGGGATATCCTGCACATGTAAACCTTGAAATGCTCTTTATTTGAGGTCTTTGTGAAGAATCTGTAGCGTGTGCAGGCAAACACTACAGAAGCTGATTTTGCTAATAAGTCCCCAAAGTGTCTGAATCAGTAAAAAGCAGCTGTTGCAGTGTTTTAGGTTTGGCGCGTTTCTCTGAGGCGGAGCTGCTCCGGAGGCAGAAATCATCTCAGCGATTTAGTTAATGTTATATATTTTTTTATATTCAAGAAGCATTAAAGCTCAGCGGAGAGGGCTCAGACAATGCAGGAGGAAACTAACCTTCCTACACTGCTTATATGGGGCTTTTTAGCCAATTATACCACTTTAGATTCAACAAGAGCTCCGAGTCTGCTCAGCTAACTCATGCTTCTATAAATAAATGTCTGCCTGCTCAACAAAGACTATCACATCTATATCACAGGGTAATGATGGGAGCTTTTATGATATTGTAGTTCAGAGGATGAAACTGAGTCTAAAGGGCACCACACATTGGAACTGGCCTATATCGGCCTTGTTGACTGATGTCAACCTATCCCTGTACCAGTTAGTTTGATAGTTTGGAGGTATCAAGGTGCAGATTTGGAAAAAGCCCATAAAACTCTTACGTTTATGCAAAAAACAGAACACAAAACTATTTTTGCACCAGCAAATTGCCAAAATGCCATTTAAACTATCAAAATAGCCACTTAATGTGAGAGTCAATGAATCCTTAAAAGCTAAAAGTTCCGTTTTTTAGTAAATTAGTAAACATGACACTGAATTGAGTTAAGGGCCAAAGAAAGACTAAACATATGGGTGTATTCATATCAGCTGGGCTCAGAGACTTCAAATATAAAAATCTGGATGAAGTCCCATCATCCTCCTGAGGCTGGAGCTCTTGTTGGGATCTATTTTTAATTTTTCCGAGCTATTTGGGATTAGGTGGACCATCGTCTTTCGAATAATATTTAAAAAGTACAACCTTGCATGGGGACAGTGGGTTTATGGTACATTATAAATTCATCATTGTGTCACAAGGTACAAAACACTTCGAATTTATAGAAAAGCATAAATATAATGACCCCGTGTGAGGATGTGTGAGGGTCTCAGGAGGGTTAAGAAGTAGAAAACAAGAGGAGACACGTCGCTTATACTCTTATGCTTATACTGTCAATCAAAAGAAGCCCCTGCTTTATTTTATATTCACTGTAACTAAGAGTGGGACCAGAATTGAGAAAATTATCATCATGTTTTATTAAATTTGACTTACGGCTCAGTCACACTAGAGGGAAAAATGAGGACCACAAACTCACTGCGGCTACGGAAAATCTGGGAATTTGGTGACCGAGTTCAAACAGTTGTTGGAATCAACTGGTCGCCCAGATGTGCAACATCCTCACCCTCTGGTGGGAGGTAACTGGTCTCCAAATTATCATGGTCTGATTGAACTGACTGCATTCACTTTAAAGGTGTGGAAATAACTGTCATCTAATATAGCCGATCGTCAACATGTTGCAATCAATCTGAGTCAGTCTGTGCAACTTGCCTGCAAAATATATATATTTTTTGCAGTAGTGGACTCTTTGTAAGGTTACTGAGCGCCTACGTCATTGCGCAGTTGAATCACCGTCCTTGAGCAACTACGTCACTATTTCTGGAACCATTTCTGTTTCACAACTCCAAGGTTCAGTAGTTAATGTGACTTTCTCTGAATGCAAGTGGCAAGATTGCAATTTTAATTGTCAACTCGACCCAATTCAAAGCAGACAGAGTCTGTCTTGTTTCTGTTTTATTGCCGTCCTGATGCACCAAAGTCGCTTGGAGGATGGCACCTGGCTGCGAGTGCTGCCAAGGCTTGGTCCGCTTCTTTGAAGCCACCATTTCAGAGGCAATAAAACTTCAAGTTCATGACATACTGTCCCAATAATTTTGGTCATGCAACCCCTGTTTTCCCTAATGTGACTGTGGCGTTAAAACTACTGATTGAGGCCATAAATTCCAGCGGAAAGTTTTTACTGAGATCATAAATCGAATGAGAAGTAAGTTTCCATTAGACTTTACTAGATGAGTCACCCCCTGCTGGCTATTACAAACAATGACTGTTTAGAGTACCTGGACATTATGCAGTCTACGGCTGGCCCCTATGTGATGCCAAATGATTGAAGCCTTCCCCTTTAAACTAAATATTAAAGCCCTCTCCCTTTCAGCAGTCACCCTCTATTTCAGGGACCCCTGAAGGCTGAACTCTCCTCACTGTTAATCTTCTTTCTGGCATTAAGCATACGGCCTGTACTTAAGCATAATTAATGCCTATGTGCCAACGCTTAAATGATGGCGAAGCAGAGGCTATAAAACACTGTCTGTGAGCACAACTCAACCTTTCACCTCACTCCACAAATACGCGCGTGTGTGTTAGTGTGAGTGTGTGTGAGTGCAAAACCTCCGAAAGCAAACAGTCATCAGAGCAGAAAGTAAAGGTCTTACCACAGAGATGCTTCCTCTGCCTCGTGTTAAAAGGGTGGACACTGTCAATGTGAGGTGTATGCGTCGTATATACAGTTTGCGTGTATATACCGTACCATGAGATTACACGCACACACACACTCTTGCACACGGATACAAATAAGACACACACGAACAAGACACCATGAAGAAAATCCATCTTGTTTGACACCGTGGTGAATGCTTAGAGGTTCTACAAAGATATCCTTCACCCAGACAGTCAAATTGAACGCAGCCAATGACGACAGATATCGAGGTGCTGCAGCAGGAAGTGTGTGTGTTGTGTGTGTGCAAACAAAGCTAAAGACACCAAGCGCACGAGTGTGCCTCTGCACGCATGTGAGTTTTTCCCCCCACTCATCTGCACTTACTTACACCGAAGCCAAAACCAATCTCGTTTGCGAAGCGATTTTCTCCAATTTTCCGTCGTACATCACAACCCCAAATGGATTTCTACTTCTGCGCAAAGGTGGGGATAAAAACCGCCGCCGCTCTTTCTATCGCATCCCATGAAACGCACGCTCCAGCCTAATTCAAACAGTGTTGTTTTTCCAGATAAGGCAGACAATGCGCCACATGAGCGAGGAGATATGTGGTTTCAGCGCTGCTGCTAGATCTCATTTCTGACTCCACGGAGCAGGTAACACAGAGGGAAGGCTGTTTACAAGAGCTCTCATTCATACCTCTTTATTATAATCGAAAGTATGTTTTTATTTTGCAGACCTCCTCCTTCTCTATGGGTGAGCCAGAGATCCACAAACACGCTCGAGTGTGTTTACAATGCTAATAAATGGTCATTGTAGAGAATCACTTCACTTTTACCTTCGCTGCGCTTTTTCCCCCACCTTTGTTTGTTTCCTCCATCCTTTCCTTTCCACTTTTTTCTTTCCTCATCTTTCCATCATCATTGTCATTTTCCTTTTTCTGCCCTTGATTTACTTTCTTCTTCTCTACTTTGGTTCTTATGTATGTTTCTGCTTCTTTAACTTTCATTTTCTTATTCTTTCGTTTTCTCATCTTTTCCACATTTTTTCCTTTTATTCCCTCTTCTTTTCCTCCTTTTCATTTCCTATTTTCCTTGCTTTTTAATTTCCTCCCTATTCTTGCTTTACATTTTCCTTTCCGTTCTCTGCTTCATTGCTCTCCCTTCTTTCGTATATCCCGACCCCTTCATCTATCTTTCCCTACTTGCACATTTCTTATCTTCCTTTTCCCTACTTCCCAATTTTCGTACTGGCCTTTTCCTCCCTCGTCTACATTTTTTTTAAATACTTTCCTCCCTCTTTAGCTTTTCAGTACCTCATTTTCCACCAACCCTTTTCCTGGTCCATTTTTCCAGCCTTTCTTTTCTCTCCCTCAGTCGATGACAAAGACAATTCCAGCAGCTCCCTTTTGTCTCTATCTTTTGCACTCATTGCAACCTCTTTTCTGCCTTTTTTCTTCTTTTCTACACCCATTCTTACTTGCATTTGTCAAAGACAGTCACCCTCATTGAACAAGCATTTATTTTCAAGGCAGTTATGAGGAGAAAAGGAGCAGGCCAAGAGATAAAAAATAACTGGGCTAAACAGGAATAAAGCGGAGACAAAGAAAGAGAGATCGTATGAGACAAATTCATTCTATTTTCCACATTGGGGCCGGGGTTTCAGGGCCGGCCAGATGGTTCGTGAGTGTGTGAGTACATATGTGTGCAGGGATGCACGTGTGTGCGTGTGCGCTCCCTGCAGCTTGTATGGCAGCGCCGGCCTGCACCAGGCTGCCGTTGGCTGCATCTAATTGAATGCTCATTGGTGTAATTGAAGCCTCTCAGCTCTGCAGCTCCTCGTGTTAAAGACTGGGACCAGATGTCATTCAGCTGTCTCACATCTCCTGCCAATCACTAATACTCGCTCCCTCTCCCTTCTCGCGCTCCGCATCGCAGATGGAGGACCAACAGATCTCCAGATTCAGACACCGTTACTCACTCGCCGCTCCAAATCCTAAAGCCTATTTGTCAGCGTGAGTGTATATTCGAAAGGAAAATGTATGTTTTAGCCCAACGGCAGAAAATTTTAAACAGCTGCGGGGAAACTGCGAGGCACTGCAACTCAGGGGAACGTGACAGAACACGAGAGGAGACAAGACGGGGCTCGCCACTTTAAAAAAGTCTTATCACGCTCGGATCCTTTGGCAGTTTCTTTATGCGCACGAAACAACATACAATTAAAAGCTGACACCTCGCGAAGAAAGCGAACCGAAGGAGGGCAGAGCAGTCGGAGTGCGAAGGCTGGAGGGAGGCGTAAAGGGGAGATGAAGAAACTGTGAGTGAGGAGGGTGGGAGGTGGGGGAGAATCTGCAAAAAGGAGGCTTAAAATAAAAAAGCAAGAAAGAGGAGACGAGTTTAATGGAAAGAGAGAAGAAGGTTGAGATGATGAGTATCCACGAGTGCCTGAAAGTCTTAAATAACCCAAATTTTAAAGCCCTAAAAATTATATTTCTTAAATACAGAGATTTTATCTTGTTCAACATTTAATAGCAGAGCTTCTTGGCGAGCTCAAGGCTTAGATTAATACAGAACTGGGTTAATACAATATGCATTTTTTATTGCTGCAGCTTCACTTAGGAGAATTACTGTCCCATACCGCTTCATTTCCTGTCTTCACGTGTTGGAAAACCTTCACTGGCTGTTATTTGACTACGCTTTGTCTATTGAAGGATTATGCAGATTAGTGCATATTTAATGAGATAATGCCTCATGTGCATGTAACTGTCCAAATGTAAGTCAGCACCTGGGGAAGTTTCCTGATAATGAAAATTTCTCCCTGTAAATACTAAAAATAATAATACTAAAATATTAAAAAATATAGTTTTACATACTTTAAGCCTAACATCTACTTTAGTTACATACAAACCTCCCAATTTTATTTCTAACTATAGTTCTAAGGAGTTAGTTCATGTGTCATTCAGAGCCTGATTTTTAGAGCATCCAATAAAATCAAAATGTTTGATTATTCCTAGCAGATTTCCAGGTTTTATCTGAAGTTCGGTTTTTTGGGCTGGAGAAATTAGCGCATATTTAGGTAGATAATTGCCTAATTTGCAGATTTAAACATAAAATTTCAGAATGTTTGCAACATGGAAAATATTTGTGTTAATGTAAGGAAGCTATTGAGGAAGTTTAATTATGCTATGCTGCTTATAGGTCATTCAGGGCCTCATTTATAGAGCATTTTACTCAACAACATGCCAAAAATGTACTTTTTTCTGTCTGCTGGGAGTAAAAGACATTTGCCGTTCAACGTATTTCCACTTCATGTACTGTTTAAATTTCTGTTTTGGGGGAAAAAAATGTAAACAGGCACATATTTATATGGGTAAATGCCTGATTTGCATAAAAACATAAACATACAAATGTCAGACTGGTTGCAACATGGAAAATATTTGTGTTAATGTAAGTTAATAATATAAGTTTACATTTCTCCCCATAAATACTAGGATCCAACATTCACAGCCAAGTATTACTGAGGTTTTATTGCTAAGAATCATTAAAAAGATTGACCTTCACTGACTGAGTGTTTTTTGTTTTATGAAGTGATAAAAAATTTTTTTTGACAGAATCACTTCTGTTAAAATATTTGACTTTCAGTGAACTTTATTCAATATTTGAATTTCTATTCAAGAAAAGTATGCAAGTCAGCACATATTTAGGCATGTAATATTTAATTTATACATTTAAAAATAATTTTTCAGGAAAGTTCAGACACAGAAATAATTGTCTACATGTAAGTAACCAGCTGTGAAAGTTTCATGGTGATACAGGCTTGTTTAAATCCTCTAGGTCGCCAATAATTTGTAATATATAGCATGCAAATTTACATTAAATTCACTAGCACTTACATCTATGAAACTTTCTGATTATATGCTGCATATTTTTATGGAAATTCTTACTCAAATGTGATTTGGAGCCTCATTTATACAAGATTTTATTCCCAAAAATGCCAAAATGTATTTTTTCTTGCTGCTGGGAGAAAAAAAAGCCTTTGGACAGTAACTAAATTAAAGAGTACATTTTTAACCTGGCTTTATCTAGTGTTTAAATTTCTGTTCTGGAAAAGTATGTAAGCTGGCACATATTTAGATAATGAATCATTTTCATATTTAAACCAGAAAATGTGTAATACATAAAATATTTTTCCAAAACGAAGCCAAGTTTTGCAGCGACATCTACTAGGTAAAAAATTTCAGCCTGCTCCCTTGTAGTGTCTTCCCTAAGCTCAATTCCTTTAGAGTGAACAAAAGGCTTAACTTTGCTTTGAACCTGCAGATACTCATGAAAGAAAGTATGGAAGTGAAGATGATAGATCAGAGGCCCTCCACAGGAAGAGAGCAGTAGATGGCGCCAGCCTGCAGTGCAACAAATCCACCAAAGGTGCCCACTTTTAACCATTTTCTGTGCTCCTTTTTCTTTCTCTTTCCTCCTTTCTGTGATTCATCCATCCCCGACAAAGCCTCAGTGCTACTGTTACACGCCCAGGGCACAACTCTTGTCTGGCCTCATTAAAAGATCAAGACAAATCTTAGCAACAGTTAATAAATCTTCAGGGCAAAGATCTCTCTTAACTCCACCACGCGAGTTCATCTGTTATGCTCTTTGGTCCTGTTTTAGAAGTCTGTGGAAAAAAAACAGAGAGGCGCAACAAAGAGTCCACTGCCGTGGTAGATCTGTGAGTCTATCGACTGATTTTTGACTCACCGGCCATCTGCTGGATCCCGCTGAAGGCTCCTAGGTTACCAGAGGAGGCTGCTTGCTGAAGCAACTGGAGAAAGAAAGAGAGGCGAGGGGGAGAAGGGAAAAGAGGAGAAGAAAGTGAGCCAGTGGATACCGACAGCTGAATACATGTCTATACTATGCAACAGTGAGAACTAAACTTGTAATGAGCGGTTTAGCAGTGTGGTTTTTGCATCAGTGCTCGATGAGTAAATGAGCTGCTAATATAGTTTGATCTCTCCTCTAAGCAAACACTGTTTGTGTTCCACCGTGATTCTCTCAGACAAGTTGAGCATGAAAGCTCTAATCTAGCCGACTAATTAGATTCCAAAACAAAAGTGGAATACTGATGCTGTCAAAAACTCATCCTTCAAAGACTTGAATTAACAGCAAATTAACATCTTGTTTCTATTGTGTGATATTTTCTTTTCCTTCCCAGAATAGAGCTTAATCTTTTGAAAGTACTGAGAAAAAGGGATTGAAAGCGCAGAAAAATCTGGAAACTCAATTCGCAAAACAATTTTTTATCTTAACGCCCCACCTTTAGCTCCAAATAAATCGATATACAGTAAGGGAGAGATGTTTGTCTGAGCTCTGTTTTACCCTCGCTCAAAGGAGAGGTGCAAATTGCAGCTAGGATCAAACAAAATGGGAATCAAATCCCCGACATTTAAGAAGTGTATTTTAACGGCGGTTTAGGTTGTTAAATTAGAAACTAAAGAGCAACGAGTCAAGGGTTAGCTCCCCAAAGCTATTGAGGAAGGAGAAGAGGAGAAAGGGGTCTCTGAACCCTAGTATAAAATGAGAAACTTCCCAATCAAAAAATCAAAAGCGTCTAAACAATTTTAGACGCTGAGCAGCTGAGTTTCTGCTGCAGCAGTTTTTAAATTGGACATCAGACGATTCCAGTACGCTCCACGCCAACCTCCAGTATTATTCTTACACCCGTTTAAATCCACAAAATTTAGACATTATAAATTTTCAAAGAGGACATCAGGCGCCTCTGTATCCTTGAAATTATCTACTAACCATTTTTGATTCATACTTTTTGGAGTTAAAAGTACATAGCTGCATTCACTGAATAGTTTTCCTTTAGACAAAAGGTTCTATACTCGTGTGTTGCACCAAGATGGAAGGATGTAAGTGACAGGAGCAAATAACTGGGAAAAGAAATGAATCCTGTAAGATCTTTGCCATTTTTTCCTCTATTATTCAGATTACTGATAACTATTTTTGAAAATAGAAAACGGATAATTATTATCATTAGCAGAAAACCTCTAATTTATAATTCATGCTAACAAATTTTGGGGAACAACATCCACAAAAAGTTGCAAAAGTCTGTTCAGGATTATCTCCAACACTCCATTCATTCACTTTTTGGTTTATTTTCTGGAAAATCCCATAATTTGTGTCACCGTCAACTTTATTTTGAATCATTTGAATACATACGCGTTACCCAACTTGCCAGATTATCTACAGACATGATCTACATGCTGGATATAGCTTCAACACATCTGTCGGCAAAACAATTAAATAACGTGTTCGTTAGTCTTCACACCCTAGTAACATACTTTTCCACATAATACTGTAATATGTGTCGATATCAGCGGCACAGAGATGTCATGCATTTACATAAAAGAGCGAGAGAAGGGTGTCAGCCTCTGATGAGGATTTAGCATTTAAAAAGGAGCTACAATAGGACAGACCTCAAAGCACAGTACTTTGTAAAATATCAAAGAAAACTGTTCCCACTAAAGGTGGAAACAATGGTTTTTCTTTGCTACCTAAAGCAAAAACACACTGTCAAGTACAAACAGGGTATGACGGCACAAGCGGAAGAGATGCTAGCAGCTACAAAGATAACCAAGCATGTCCGGAGCGTTCGCTAGTTGCTCTCCGTATGACAGGAAGAGCAAACGCCGGATGGAATTACTGATACGGTTACATAGTTGTAAAAGAAAAGCTAAAGGACAGGTGGAAAATATTTTTCAGGTTTCAAGTAATAATCTGGCACATGTGAAGCTTTTAAAGATTTACAAGTTGGTTAGGTAGTCACGTTATACATTTACGCAACATTTCCAGGGCATACATTAGCTAGGCTATTTTTGTGCTTATATTTGATGTATGCCACTTCACTGGAATAGTAAGTTTGATTCTTGATTCTTCAGATCAGACAGTGTGTGATCAGTCAACCGCTAGAATGTTATGTTATACAGTGCATATCATAGCATAATCATAAATATTTGCGCACATTTGCCTAAAATTGCTTAATATAGTTTTGAGGCTACATTGCTATTGCATTTAATTTGTAACTTTTTAGGAAACTAAAAAATAAAATACATCAATAAAGGATGTAAAAGTTATTTACCATTAACAAATAGTGAAATGCTAAGTATTATTATTATTATTTTACTAGCTGGTTAATTATCAATTTGTAGATTACTACATTAATGGCTAAGGTAAGTAAGGTAAGGACATTATTTAGATGGCTATTTTGAAGCTCTGATGCTAGCAGTTGTTTACTTTTGCTTCGTCTAGCTCAGGGGTCGGCAACCTGCGGCTCCGGAGCCACATGCGGCTCTTTAGTCCTTTTAGTGCGGCTCCGCGTGGTTTGGGAAAATATATATATATATTTTTAAGTAATTAACTGAAGTGTATTTTATTTATGTTAGTTCTTTTTTAACTTGTAGTTCTAAATTGGAAGATTATTGTGATATTGAAATATAAATATAAAATTATATTCTATTAATTTTTTGAATGCTCAAAATAAGCGTCACACTTGCGGAAGCCGATATACCCGCCGAAACGCCGTGCATTTATCGAGACTTTCAACCCCAGGTAAGACAATTCTGGATCTTCAGATCCACATTATGTCAGCAGCTCCACCGCGAACTATGTTAAAAACAAACACCGCTCACGCCTCACAGACGACAGCTTACAGTCCTGCGTAAAGATGAACGTGACTTCGTACAGCCCCGATTTGCAGACGCTGTGCGCAGAGGTTCAGGAGCAGAAGTCCCATTGTAAACATATCACGGCAGACCCGACGATGTTTCCATGAACACGCTTTTCAGCATCTCTTTATTGACCACTTTTCACACACGGTTGCTGTACGCATACAGCTGGTGTTAAAGCGCCAGTGTTGGGGAGTAACGGAATACATGTACCGC